CCCCCTCCCCTCCCCGGAAAAACCTTCTGCAGATGGAATCTTCATTGTTATGATTGTGTTCGTTGTTTTCATATTTATTTTGTTTTATATGTGTGACATGCAGATGCTTTGTTATTGGTTTTCTAAGCGTACAATAGCTGTTTTTTTAGGCTTTCTTTTACTCGCAGTCTTCTTTTTGAAAATGTATTTGCTCTTCTAAATTCAGAAAACAAAAGGTGAACTGGGGAAAGCTCGGGCGGGGGGGGGGAGAGGAGAGATTGGAGTTCAATATAATAACATGCTCCTCTCCCACGCTCTCTCACTTCTTTTATCTCTCTGTCTCTGTCTTTTCTCTTTATGTTTCGCTCTCCCGTCTCGCAATTACAGCGCCTCCTCGGATGCTTACCCACTCTGGGCAAGCCATAAGAAAATCTAATTTCCGCGTTCCCGATTACGGCTCATCAGAGAAGCAACAAGGGAGGTAAAAAAAGAAGGGTCTGACCAGGCACAGACCCATTGACATCGTGTATTGACGCGTCGTCTCTAGGCCGGACAGCCCATCACAAGGCAAGAATGACGTTCTGAGCGGCCATTATGCTTCGATCTTCCCTTTCTCCGACTTTCGCTTTTGTCGTTCGGCATTGATACAAAGGATGGATCTTCAAAAAGTTGAGAACTAATATCTCGGTGTCGTGGTATAATATGATAGGGGCCACAGCAAAAGCCAACAAGGTTTTATTTTGTTTTCCATTCATCAAAAGCTCATTTATGTGAGAAGTAAAAGAACAACATCAATAAAAAAAAATAAAAAATATTGAAAGGCAGAGAAAGTATATTCGATAATATTTTCGTTCAAGATCAAGTCGAAACAAGCTTAAACTTTGGAAACATTGAAAAGAAGAAATGAATCGCAGATGAACTGACTGGGAAGACATTTATTTATTTATCTTTTTAATTTTTAATTTTTTTTTGGGGGGGGAGGTGTTTGGCTTGCCTTTACTTATTCAAAAATGTCTAAGATTGAAAAAGGTCGTAGGGATGGAAATGGGTGTGGGAGTGATGTAATAATCACAAATGAACTTGGGCATATGTCTTAGAACACCATTATGCATTTTCAGAAACCACACATCTTAATTTCTAATTCGGTACGTTACAACTCTATGTATTAGTTCGCTTCTCTATATTCTTCTTGTTTCGGTCCCAAAAGTTATTTGGTAGAACAGTTTTTTCCGTCATATTAATCCAACTCAAACGCGATGGAATATTAAAGGTGGTTGGGTTGGAGGCGTGGGAGAGGGGGGATGGGAGATGGTATTTCTTCTTTTTTTTCATTCTTGGGGGAGTGGGTTGGTGGATTATTTTTTGTCTTTTTCTTCTCAGGGGGTGGGGCTACGTCTAACATGTGCAGCTGTTACGTTTTGTTTGAACCTCTTATTTCTCACATCAAGAAAACACAAGCATGGAGAAAGCATGACTGCCTCATTCACACGGAACAATAACTACCTTACTTTTTTCTAGCGGAGAAACTATTCTTTTTAATGAGAAGATCAACTCCTGTTCCCTTCAGGGACGAGATAACAAGGCTTTAATTACTCTTCCTCATCAAACTCAGAGCAATAGAGTTCCTGACATCTTTCAGGTATTTAAAATCCATAAGGCTAAAACTTAAGGAAAGGTTCACTGTTTAACGTGTTATAGTAACATAATTTCAGAAATCACTGTGTTACTTTTGAACAAAACTGTGATGCAATTGTTTCATTATAAAGAAAAATAGCAGCCAAAGAAACTGCAAAAAAGGAAAGAAAAAGGTATAAGAAAACTTAATAACTTAATAAGTTTAGTGCTATACGGTTACAACATTGACAGGAGTGAAAGACCATAAACAAAACAGATGGCTTAAAAATAAAGGTTCCCTTCTTCACATGACTAGAAATGTGATCTGTTATATTTCATCCATTATTATTATATATATTATATAAATATATATATTATAGGTGTGTGTATGTGTGTGTTTTGTGTGTGTGTGTGATGGTGTGTTTGTGCATGTGCATGTGCTCCCTCAAACTCAATATTTCCAATTTGAAGTCGGGTTTGTGTAGGACAAAACAACAGTAAAGCTAAAATCTGATTAGGCTAATTTTACACATCCCTACAGTTTCATACAAAAAAGCCCGATTCGACATGGAAGGTGGTTGCAGTAGAGTCTAATAACTATTGGACATTGAGGATGTCGATGGCGGAACAGGAAGGATATAAAACTAAAAAAGGCACATCTGGTGATTTATGGGAAAAAGGGATTGCCAAGAAAACGTAACTTCTGGAGGCTGGATTAGATAGCACAACATCTCCGAGTAAATATGAAAGATGATGAAATGGGCTGAAAGCCAGCGTTTTCCGATGAGAATAAATTATTGAGAAGGAGAAACTACCTTATTGATCTTCTCATCCGAATGCAAAACGTTCAATTCCATAACGCATGTGTGGGAACAAAAGGGGCTAGGTTCCGCATGTTTTTCGTGTTTCACGACACACTTAAGACCTACTCCACAC